AATCTTCCACTACCGTTGTGAAAAATTTTTAAGATTTTCTATCATATCGAAAAATATGTCAAATAAATGCAGACAAAATGCCAAAAAAAAAGATAAAAAAAAAATACCAAAGATTCGCACACATATTTGGTACCTGATAACGCATCGTTCCAAGTGCGACGATGACAGCACACAAAGCACGTATCAATTAAAATTATTTAAATATCACATTATCCGATAAGATTAACATATTTATCTGCATTTATTTGACATATTTTTCGATATGATAGAAAATTACAAATTTTTCAGAACAAAGGTAGCGGAAGATTTTTTATTAATTTAACAGCACAGTCTTATAAGGCATTTTTAATATCCACTATAGTGTTAAAGATATACAGGGAAATAGGGTAACACTTACCTTCATCCAAGGGCTGTTTTCACCCCGGAGAACTGAAATTGGACGGAAAAAAAATTGTCCGTTACTTCTCTCGAGGTCCCCTACTGTTTAGGCGTGAGCAATTTACCAAGTTGGAGTATGAAAGAGAGTCTTTCGTGTATGCTCACTTCAAACGTCAACGTTAATGACGATTGAATATTTATTGAATTTGGATACTGGACGGTGGTGAAAGAATGATGTCACGAGTATAGATAACACTTAAACTTTAAATTTATTCTACAATGGTTGACTTAGAAAAACGCGTTAGATTGGTGATAATAATGTTTGTGTTGAACAGCTGATAGAAATTTAGAATCTGATTTTCCTTTTAAGGAATGCGTGTATAAATAATAAATGCGGACATGAGAAAGTGGGAATGACGATGTCTGATTGGTGGTTTTAAAAAGGTAGGGGAAGCCGCCGTGACCCTCAGGTACTGCAAGTACCTTCGAGTGGCATGTGTCGGATTTTCCCCATACCTTAACCGTAGCAGGTAATATTTTATTGGTTGCCCTGACTCGGCCGAGGTAAAATTCTTAATCCTAATACAAAAGGGGCAGTCGTCTTATGCATTCAAAAAAAGGTAAAATATGCACAATGGTTTTTAGTTATTAGTTTTACGCCTTTAACACGCACTGTGTCACGTTTTCACGACCTCTATCCTCCATTCGCGTTTCATTGCTTTCTATTCTCCCTCGGTTTCTCGCCTTGTCTCACATCCTCCTCTGCTATTTCCCCTTTGTGCCCGCGCCTCGTACGTTCTAATCCATCGAATTCTCGTTAAATCCTCGTTGATTAAACGCGAATTAGATTTAGGAATTCTCGCGTTCGAAACGTAGTCGGTTATGCAAATGCTCGCTGGTTTTTGTTGCAGTAACCGGAGGCAGGCCGCAGGAGTCGTCGCTACGAGCCGCAACAGTAAGTGTCACAGACCTGTAACGCTCCTTCGCCTTTCTCTACGCGCGTGCAACCGATATTTGTCGCGGCTACACAGAGAAACGTGCGAGAAATGTGTTACAAATCGTCGAACGCCGTCCTTTTTGCCTCTGACGTGACATAAAGCATCGAGGACAACCGTTGCTACGCTCCCTCCGGACGTTCCTCTAATTCGTCGAACGCCGTCCTTTTTGCCTCTGACGTGACATAAAGCATCGAGGACAACCGTTGCTACGTTCCCTCCGGACGTTCCTCTAATTTAACCCTTTCACTCCGAAGGACGTATATATACGCCCTCGAAGAATGAACATTCATATACGCTCTCGAAAAGTGGGCGCTCGGGTGCGAAGAGCGTACATATACGTTCATACCATGTATACTTTTGTTTCTTTTTTGTTTTTGCGACAAAATTATCGTTTGCCAAATTTCATTTAAATCCTATAAGACAGATATTGGAAACGTATGGGACACAAAAATCAGATATGAAATGTACCTCAGTGTCGACTAGCCAGTAATACGCTCCGTTCATAGCGATCATATTTTGTCACAAGCGCGCCGTAGCGAAAAGGTTAACCGCGAGAAACGTCGCGTAATCTCGCGGTAGTTGGTAATTACCGCGGTTCGAGCACACGGTGTTTCGAGGTGTAACTTGAAACGTAAATTCGAAACGTAACAGCAAGGGGGAACGAACTTTTCCGATTTGACTTTACGTTCCTCCTCGCGTAAAGTACACCGGAAATCAATAACTGTTCCCGAGGAAGGTGACAAGGCTCGTAAAACGTTCGAGTGTCTATCTGGAAATGTTTCGAGTGCAGCTATCGAATCGCATAAAAGGTTCACACCTTGTGAATCCGCGAAAGAAGAGAGAAAAAGGCACGTCGGGGGGTGCCTTAACTATTTCGTCCAATTTTCATCGTATCTCTCGTGCCCGGCCGATTTTAGGTTGCCGATAAACCGTCGGACGAACGGAGAACCAGGCTTTCATTATCGTCGAGCAAATATTATATCTCTCGCGTCGATTTCCCGAACAAACAAACGAAATATCGCCGCCGTTGCGTTTCCTAATAAAAGCGTTAAAACAATCGCGCGCAACGAATGCAATTTACAACTGGACATACTTCCGGTCGTTTTGAATAAATAAATCGCGGGAATTTATCGCGGAATACCGGCAGGAATAATTTACAATTGACCGAAGAAGAAAAATGAACCGACAAAAGTTGCTGTGTTAACTTCGTCGCTAGCACGAGAGCGCAGGGTTTGATGCGATTTATATGTATTTCCTTGCTGCCGGTTTGCTCGAGCGTACATATTTATTTCCAACTGAATATTTACGGAAAAATAGACGATAAACGAGGAATAAAATTTTCTCGTACGCGGCTTAGTTTCCGAGGAAATCGCGTTTGAACATTCGAGCGTACGCGCCGCGATATCGTGTGCAGCGCGCCAGACATTTTCAAGCCCGATTTTCACAAAAATTACGTCTCCAATGGGGAAATGTTATTTCACATTTTTTATTCATTTTTGCTTGAAGAATCGCCTCCTGTCGTTTGTACAAGACTTTTAACCGAATCCTGTACAATCCACGAGCTTGTATCTTAACACATTAGCGTCGGGTGACGCTAATTTTTGACGCGAAAATACGCCATTCAGATTTTCACACATCTGCCTAAAAATAAATTTCTAAAACTGTATAAACGGTTCAACTTCTTTCAAAAATACCACGACAGGCGTTTCACTTACTAAAACGGAAATCCAACGAAATCTTACCCTTTTTTGATCCCGAATACAACGGTGTGCTTGGTTTTCCATTATCTCTTACGGATCCCGAGTTATAGTTAAAAGTCGACACGTCTATCGTCGTGCTTGGGGTTAGTAGTTTCTCGCGGTTTTCACCTAAACTACTTAGCCGATTCTCGTTATCTCTACGGCGTTCGAATTCACGAACCACGATGGTGGAGGCAAATACCGAGAAATAAAATTTACGACGTTAAAGAGAAGTCCCACAAATAAAAGCGTCCGACGAAATCTTACCCTTTTTTGATCCCCGAATACAACGGTGTGCTTGGTTTTTCATAAGCTTTTACGGATCCCAAGTCACGAATCTGAACGTCTAAACGTAAGATTTCCCTTCGACGGAAAACTAGTTTACCACTTTTCCCAAAATTTCTCTGCAAAATATCAATGAAAAAGTTACGATTGAGAGAGAAAACGCGAAATCAGCCTGTATCAGAACGAATCCGGAATCTAAAGCGCCAACGTTTGCAACAAAAATAGCTTACAAAATGTTCCATTCTCCACACGCCAAGGAACAAATTTCCAACTGCTATGTGACACTCGGCGAAACACCTTGTCCTGGTTAGTAAAGAAAGAAACGAAACAGGCGACGTAACTCAGGACGTTATCAGAAAATTCCAGTCCATCGGTTTCCAGCCGTGTTCCAAGCTCTATCCTTGAATCTCTGACGGGGTAAGGTCGGGAAAGCACACAGGTGATAATTCATTTCAGAGCAGCAACCCTGAGGCAAGGAACGCGAACGCGCCGGGCAGCGTGCCGTTGGAAGATGGGATCGGTCGAGGTGAGCGCGAGCGGGTCGAACGGACCGATAACGAGCAGGCGGAGGAGGATTACGAGGGCGAGGACGAGTACGAGGACGAGCTGAAGGCCGTGGCTGAGTCGCACGAGGCGATGTCGAGGGACGACACTAGGAATTCGAACGCGTCGACGGCAGCGTCCAGCGACCAGCCGGGCGGAAGCTCTTCCACGGCGACGAAGAACTTCGACTCACGCGAGGTGATCACCGTGAACAACTCCGACGAGGATGACGCGTCGAACGAAGCGATCACCGACGAGCTAGTTGACAAGTACGACCAGGAGGTACGTGTCCCTTCTCTTCGTCTTTCTTTTTCTTTTCTTGCCCCTCAAGTCGGAGAAAATTGTGCGGTGAAACAAACGTTCCCCTTCGACCTGCTAGTGTGACGTGTCGAGTCTGTCTTTCTTGGGAGAGACGTCGATACGAGCGGTGGACAGTTCTGCGGAAGATGGTGTGTTTCTTTGGGAGAGCAATCCGTCTTTCGCGGACTGTTTCAACAGCGTGACACGACAATTCTCGTGATAGATCGGAGTCATCTGCATGCGATGCATCATGGGGAATGCACGCGTGGTATTACGTCAAACTGATAGGAAAAGGTAAACAAAGAAAGAACCGCGGTAGCGAACGAGGTAAAATGACGGTACGCATGTATGTAGACGAGTGTCTAAGTCAACAATAAACTTTGGTACTTCAAGTAGAAAATGGTATTTCATTTACAAATGGAAAATATGTTAATATTAAGCTACACAATCTTTTTGCACTTTCTATCTGTATATAACACGAGTAGATAAACTAAGATGCTAAAGACATCAATAAGACCTTTACCTGTAACCGTACTTCCAAAAGCGGCTTCCCCCAGAGGGAGAAACCCTAATTTGTCCTAGCTGCGTGCAGTTTTCAGTAAATATATTAGAATCAGTTGACTTTCGCTGGATACAAGAATTCTTCGTACGGTCCTGACAATGGTTTCAAGTACTTATCTGCTCGTATCTCTGTCAATTTTCGGGTCCCGGCAGCTAAAACATGTTTACTTTGACGTCTGACCAATTTTACGACCTCGCTATATCGTGGCCCCGACTATACTTCCACTGGTATTGGAAGTGGGAAGAAACTTAAGCTCGTGTGCACGTTTTGTTTTTCCAGTACTTGTGATACAGGAAATATGAAAATAGCAGTTTAACCCCTTGCACACTACGCTGAACCTCGGAAAAAGCCAGGCCAAACCCGTCCGCCTGAATGGTCGCGAAGAGAGCCGAGTGGCGGAGCCCGAGTGTCGAAATTTGAAATACAATATCTTACGACTGAGTGCAACATAGTCGCGCTACGAGCCACGAGTCAGACTCGTGATATTCATGTTTGGCCTGAAATTTTCATCACGAGTCAGACTCGTAAAAATAGTGCAGGGGGTTAATAGCAGTAACTGCATAAAAAATTAGATCACTTTTTTCTACGTTGACGATAAAGAAGATCCTCTCAAAATTCCCTCGAAAGTCATACCGAAGCCATCGACATATTTTTGCAAATTAACGCCAGTTCGTATAATGCAACATTGTAGCCAAAACCGAGGCCAGTTCAACGACCTGACACCGTCACGACCCAAAAATGTGATTTTTTCGTTTCTTCTTACTTCCAACGCTATCGTAACTAATTGAAACGTTCCTCGCAAGTGAGACACTCTCTGTAACGTAAGAACGAATAGAATCAAAGTTTTCACAGCGAACCGGATATTTAGGCAAACGTAGGAAACGAATTTCGATGGTGAAATATCGCGGAGTTATGGTTGATTGAACAGGCTGACACAGTGTGATCGGAAAGCACAGCTCGGACGTGGAGTTTCGATTGATCGAGTGTCCACGCGATGGTAACTAGTTCCATGCGCGTTGCACCGATGACCTGGTTCCATCCAGCAGAAATATCGTACCCGTGCGAGCCTTGACCACTGCTTCCTCGGGCAGGGTGTCGCGGGGCAAACCCTGACCCGCCGTCAGCCCAACCCTGACCTACCCCATCTCTTACTTCGTTTCCGCGCTCTATTTACGATTAAGCTGGCCACGCGCCAGAATAACTTTGATCCCAGATAGCTGCCTCTGTTCGTCGATACGTTTCCCTCTCTCGCGACGTTGTTTCGTCGCCTCTGGAATTCCTGCCCTCGAGAATTCTCCGCGGTAATTAACCAAGATACCAAAACGTAACTTCAGTGATGAATAATCCAATGCAACTGATTTACCATCGAGCGAGGGGAATAAATAGTCAGATACGATGGAACAGAATTGTTTCAGAATTGCAAAGATCTCGTATTTCAGAGGCGCCGGAATTATTCGAAGGACAGTTTCGAATTTAAGCAGCTGGTAGATGGAATTTATCGAAACAACTCGATCGAATCTCCCGTTCGGTGGAATGTCGGGAGAAGAGGAAACGGGAGAGATAAAAGGTAGATTCAGGTCCTTCGGACGAGTCGGCTAGAAGGCGATTTCCCAACGACGATCGTTCCTGTGCCGTCTAATGTTTATCGGTAGACGTATGCGGACATACAGGCAGGACGGAAAGTACCTACTTTGCATCGACAGTGGTCCGAGCTGTTTCACGATTGGAAAGCCATTTGTAACGTCTTAAGAGGGGAGAGGAAGAGGTGAAATTTTAAACGCGCTCTTTCTATCCGTCTTCTCGATACAGACGCTTTTATTGCATCTCCTTTCGGTGTTTCCCTGCGTTTCTCTCGTATCTCTCTGTTCGACGTGAACTGGGGGAACATTGGCAGGTGTACAGGGGAACGTTAGATTTTATTTAGGATGTAAATAAGTTTAGATCGCAATAAGTAGTCGGTTTGAGTGTTTAACGCGTTGAATGCTGGACCAATTCAACGTAATGAATTTTTTTCAGGTTTAGTTAAATTCGCAAAAGTCACCTCCCCACTTAAGGGGAGAAGTCCCTATACACGGCTTAGTTTTCTACCAACTTTTAGGAATATTTTGCAAAGAAACCAATGCGCTAATACTGTCGGAACTTTAAGGGTACTTTATTTAATATTATAACGAGCAAAGAAAATTTTGATGACAGTAAAATTATGATAAATACAAAGGAAATAGAGCAGTATTGTAAATAGGTTCTCTTTTCGAGGTGCAAAACGGCGTCAGATGTAGCATCCCTGGTAGTTATCCGAAAGAGACGTATTTGACAATTGTAAGAATATGAACCTAACATGGTGCGAAAAGATTGCATATTTTAAAAATGGCGGCACAGTATACGGAGGGTTAACCCCTTAACGTGTCAGACTCGTGGCAGAGATTCTGGCGAAGATGCGAGAAAAATAGTTACATTAGTAAGAAAAATTCATTGTAATCCTAATTTTCGTTTGAATTTCTAAGACTGAGGATTGCTAAATGTAATTAATTTGGGACAGATTAGTTTTTGTTACCTGATACAGTACTGAAACTTAGATGCATAGTCGGAAAAGAAATCATAGGTTAAGGGGCAGATTGCGGTACGTGTAATCGAATGAGAAGAAGGTTAGGGTAATCGTACAAACTCGCTCGATTAGCTGCTCGGTGTAATCTCACCAGGGGGGAGAGCTTCTACAAATAATATCACGCGATCAGGCTAATTGAATCGGCCAATCATCCCCCGTTGCACAGCGAATCAACGACATGGACTATTCAGTTCGTCGTGAAACAGCGGAGGACTTAATCGTATTTCACCTTTCTATCAAACACGCGTTCCACTGTTTCCTTCCTTCCATTCTCGCCGAATGGTTTCCCTCTTTGACCGACCAATGTTCGCCCCCAATTTACATGGAAACGGAATTTTTTCGGCAATTTTCGAAACACTCGCACCTGTTCTCCGTCCTTTCTAATTTCGCGCGTCGCTCGATTGTTATTTAAATTCCGCTCGTTACGATTTTGCCATAGGTATTTTCTATGTCTGAGAAAAGTGTCGTCGAGTGACAGTCTCTGTGTGCCATTTGTTATGAAATCCACTCGATTTGCGATCATTTTCTCACCGTTCCTCGCGTTGTTTCCCCGCGAATCGTAGAACACGACTGCTGTAATCGCGAGGACGAATCAATGGAGGAATTTTGTGTGCTCACAGGTGGCCGAGCTGTTGAAGTACAAAAGGGAGAAGAACTCGAACCACAACGAGGGGAATCGTACGAAAACGAAACGAGTGCCGACTGTGAAGAAGGAGCTGAGCACTCAGAAGGAGATCTTGATTGGCAACAACGAGACACAAGTGCCGAAGAGTCTGGTGCCGCCTGAGGACACTGTGAGTGGACTGGACGAGGAAACCGAGGCGATCCGGAGGCGAAACGGCGGCACGAACGAGGTGATGGTTGTTTTTTATTGCGAACACGAGGGGCGTTCGAGATCTTCTTGTCGTTAGGCTTAGTTACAGCTTCACGGCAGATCAAATTATATTTTTATTACCGTTTTTCTTCATTATTTGTCACCTTTTCTGTTTCCTCGTATTTCACGTCTATTCGTACTTTCATCTATATCAGCACAACTTGATTAAAATATTGCGAACGAAAAAATGATTACCGAAAGAATTGAGGCACAGGGTGAAATAATGAGAAAGTTAACATTTTCGGAATAATTCCAAAAGTGCAAAATTGAAATTGAAATAGAAAAGTGAGTGGTAGATAGCTGTGCAGTGAATAAATAAACGGATTCTCAACGGAGATCTGTCTTTTCCCGTCAGAGTTCCGAATTTCTGGCAGTCTGATCTTCCGATTCAGTTTTTATAAAATGAAAAATGCAGATATCAACGGAAGTCTCCCTCGGAAATAATGAAATTTCAATTTCCTGAATATTTAACGCACTCCGCGGCGCCAGAAACGAGGAAAATTCAGCGAAGAACGATGTTTCTGCTTGCAGCCGATAAAATTTGAGGATCCAGGGTATTCGAAGTCGTCGCGAGGGGAGGACGAAGTGACAACGGACAATCGATACACGAATTTAGAAGCGCAGGACTCGAAGAAGTTGGACAAACGGCAGGAAACGGCGTGGAAGGATCTGAAATCCTGTTTGCTGACGGAATACGCGACCGATGAGAAACGTCGTCAAATGCTGCGCGAGCTCGAGGTGAGTTTGTCCCCCGAAACTTTTCCCTTCGATAATTAATCGTTTTAATAATTGATCGCCGCTCCTTTGGCGCCTGGCGTTCACCCCTCTCGCCGCTTCTTTCCCAACAAGTCTCTCTCGTTCCGCGCTCGATAAAACATTCTGCCCCGAAATAAGCCGCGGCGAAAAGTAAATAAAAAAGAAATACTCCGATTCGAAAATATTTCCGTGACGATTCTTCGAAAAAATAACATTACTATTCCAACTAAACAAAACCTTAAAGTATTTCCCTGACAATCGGAGAAGACACAAGTTCGGATCGACGCAGAGAAAATCAAAAATAACGTTAATATTGGAAGTAAAGGAAGCCTTAAAGCATTTCCCTGACAATTGTAGAAGACACAAGTTCGGATCGACGCAGAGAGAATCAAAAATAACGTTAATATTGGAAGTAAAGGAAGCCTTAAAGCATTTCCCTGACAATTGTAGAAGACACAAGTTCGGATCGACGCAGAGAGAATCAAAAATAACGTTAATATTGGAAGTAAAGGAAGCCTTAAAGCATTTCCCTGACAATTGTAGAAGACACAAGTTCCGTTCGACGCAAAGAAAATCAAAAATAACGTTAATATTGGAAGTAAAGGAAGTTTTAAAGTATTTCCCTGACAATTGTAGAAGACACAAGTTCGGATCGACGCAGAGAGAATCAAAAATAACGTTAATATTGGAAGTAAAGGAAGCCTTAAAGCATTTCCCTGACAATTGTAGAAGACACAAGTTCGGATCGACGCAGAGAAAATCAAAAATAACGTTAATATTGGAAATAAAGAAAGCCTTAAAGCATTTCCCCGACAATCTAAGAAGACACGCGAAAGAGAAGCTTCGAAACGTGGTAAAAGACAGGCGCAGAGAAGGGATAAACAGACACAAACAGGGAACGAGGGGGAGCAGCAAAGATTGTAAAGACCGATCGATCGACGGGCGAGAAAATTTGGTGGGTGGTTTGCGAGGCGTGTGGAACCGAAAGCGGAGGAGAATGAAGAGGAAATTTCCATGTCGTGGATCTCAAAGGGCTGGCCGAAATCCGTAATCGATAGACAGGCCTGGAAGCCGTTGGCCACCGTGTTCCCGGGGCCAATAACCGGCGAGAGTGGCTTTGTTCGCAGTCAAATCGTCTTTCCAACCACCTGCGGCAGAACTTTGATCCCCCTCGGGACGATGATTTAAATCGACAAGACCAACCCCTCGCCGTACACCGCTACTCCCGGTGTCTTCATAACGAAACAGCTGCTGAACGTCGCTTGGATTCATCATTTCCCATTCCGCGGATGAACCAGATTTAACAACGTTCGCTTCTTCCAACTTTAAATTGCCTCTTACGTGCCGGAGAATCAAAGAGTTCGCGATTAAGCCGGCCTGGTCTGTTGAAAAACGAACGGTTATCGAAGACCGTCGAGGGAGAAAAGAGGCAGCAAAGGATATAAAGAATTGAATTTGTAAGGACGAAACCGGAGGAGGATTCATTTGTATTCGGTTCACTTGCCAGGATTAATATCCGAGATTCGAGGTAATTTTGCGAGAGATAAGCAAGGTGGATGTTTCGAAGGAGAAATGGGGAATTGCGTTCGGCTGGAAGAGACGGTTGCCCGTGTCAGATACAAATGAGAAAGTTGTCGCGGAACGATCGGTGAGGGAATAAAACGGTGGCCACGATGATGAATGCCGGGGCCAACGCTTTCAGACCGGTTAACCACCGAGAAGTCTCCTTTTATCGCGCGCGCAGAGGCAACGTCCTCTGCTTTCTTTTCGCGCGCAACGCGAGGACCCCGGGCTATTTGTTCTCGTCGCACGCACAAAACACGCCGGCGATCCTCGAGAGTGACAGCCGTGATTCCAATTCTCGCGGGAGAAACGCGGCGGAAAGTTCACGGCGGAAAGATGGAAACCGGTTAACCGGGATCGAATTGATACCTAATTCGACATTTCTCGAAGAAGAATTCCAAGATGAAATTTCACGTGCGTGCGAGATGATTGAAGAATTGCAAGAAAAATTGCATTGCCGGCGTGGAAGAGGTTTGCGAAAGTAGCGAGGAAGGAATTGCACAAGTTCCTTTGACGCGGTCCTCGAGAAGGATCGGCGAGGCTCAGGCTTCATCGTCGTCGTTCCTCGTAACGAAGACTCGGGCACAAAGGATGCATCCTGCCGGCTAATTCGATATTCATAGCGCGACTTCTTAGCCAGCGTGGCGAAATTGCCGCGACAATTGGATTCTTGGGAGAAAGGTGGACGTTTTTCTCTCGCGTTTTCCTCGCGGCAATTTTTCTAGAGACTTCCTTCCTCGAACAAAAATTCTACCAGTTGTGTTGTAAAAGCTTCCGTGTTCCGTCGTTGGTATTTAAAAATTGAACAGGTGAGAGAAGAATCTTTGGGCGCGAGCGTTCGAACAGTTCGACTTGGAAGAGCAAGAGAGGAGAACGGTGTCGTACGGAAGGTAACCGGCTTGTCGACGTTCCAGAGAAGGAAGCACGAGGTGGAAGGCTCGCTTACGGCAGATTGGAAGGCGTCGCGAAGATGTCTCGCGCTCCCGACCGGCCATTATCGCGGCAGCTATTCCAACGCGCTTACCGCGGAGGGCGCGAGACGAAGCACAAAGAAGCGCATTCTCATGGCTAATTCAATATCCTTCGCGCGAGCCGGTGTAAGTATAGTCGCAGCCGCTCTCAATTGCCGCGGCTATTGAATCAGCTCCAGCCCGGGAACAGGAGGAGTAAAAAAGGCTGAACAGACTAAACAGAGGAGGAGAACGAAGCCTGGTGTGGATCTTTGTTCGTGGAATGGCGAGAGACAGAGGGAAGAGTGTCAGTTTTACCAATGAAAAAGAAGATGTGTCGACCTTTGTTGCGTCGAATTTGTTGCACGAGGGAAGAGAAATTTGTGAAAAGTGGCAGTTTTGAGAAGGGGAATGTTGGAAAGAAGGGAGTCAGCGAGTAAGGTTAGGCAAGTGACAGTGTTTCGAGTATATGGGCGTTCGGGACAAAAATCACAACTTCTAAGTTAATCAATTTTTAACCTAAGTTCTCGAAAATTCTGTCAGCTTCAACCTACACAGGGTGTCCCAGTATTGATGGTACAGCCGTGGAGGGGGTGATTCCACGTGAGAAAATAAGTCGGAAATATGGAATAAATTTTTTTCATTCGAGAAAATCGACTTTAAATTTTCTTCGAGTACGCATGCACCCTACATAGGACGGATCTCGACGTTCGGTGTACTGTGGCCAGCATTTTCAACAACTTTTGCGTTAATAAAGTAAATGTTGATAATTACAGTCGATTCTCTCGAAAACGAAGCCATACTTTCCACTTATTTTCTCACGTAGAATCACCGCGGTTGTACCATCAATCCTGGGACACCCTGTATAAATCAAATGAAAAACACGAATGGTACATATTCAGAAAATACGCAGATTTTAATGGAGCAAATTTCACGTCTTAATTTTCAAACGAAAAAATTTGTAGATTCTACTTGTCCATTGGTCGAAACATGTGCGCCTCCGCAATTAAACACTATGGGCGTAACTTCTCAAAAGACTAAACGAACGAAATTATCAGCGCAGAGGATGAATCGACGCGTCGACATTCGCGAGATCCTCGACAGTGTCTCCAGAAGGAACTTCCGGTTGCCGTGCTTCGTAATTTCCGCTGGAAGCTCTCGGTATTTCGTGTCGAAGCGGTCCGGACCGACGTCGGTAATCGTAAATCAAGGGAATTAAGATTAACAGGTTCGTTTCGTGTCTCTGCGATCTCTGAGAATCCCTCGTCGAGATGCAGCGCGTTCGAACGGTTCGAGAAAGGCCGTCTCCTTAATGCTGATCCTCCTCACCCTTCTCACAGCTCCGCTACCTGTCCCTTTAATAGAAATTAACGTCGGCTGTCTGCCGGAGATTATCTGACCAGGTTGCATATCTTCTAACAAAGAGCTACGACGAGCTTTCCTCCTGTTGCACGCTGTTACGCGAATCCCGGATCCTCCCCCGAGTGAAGCACACGCGAACGTCAGTCCCTGGTAAAAATCGCGGAGACCAACCGTATTTTATTTATCTTATCCTCCGCCGTTCTAACACGCCTCTATCTCTCTTCGATATATCCCCAGTCTCCGTGGGATCTTTTAGTAAAAGTCGGACCAACCTCTTTCTTCCTTCTTTCGTCCTAGCATGGACGTCTAATAGAATTCTACGTATAATTGTAAAAAAAAATCGAAGGTAGGTGAAGTTTTTCAAGACGTTTCTACTGCTGCCTCCTTTGCTCGTGCCTCTTTCTCTAAATTCTTTCACGTGATACACCAACGTGGACCAGATCTTGTCGAAATCCCAGATTTAATCCAGCTCTGTTACTCCGATATTCTCGAGATTCCCTTGGAGTAGGAATCCGCAGCTTAACGGCAATTTCGCGTCAAGGTAGCAAGGATGATTTAACCTAAATGACACTTGATCTCTGAATAGAATCAGACGCGGAATTCACGAGCAGCTAGGAAAATCGCGGAGCCGTGCTCGCGACTACGTCGTTAATGACGTCGAGTCGCGCGAGAATATCTGCCGGCGCGGTGTATATTTTGCGAAAATATGTTCGAGTGGAAAAGCAGGAGAGAGAGCGAGAGAGGGGAGAACGCGACGCGGCCACGCGGAACGAGGAAAAATCCTCGAGTCGTCGTTTCGAAACCGAGCCGCTGAACAACTTCATTAACGACTTCCATTTTTCTCCACTCCCCCGCTGATTTGGCAATTCCGTCGGCGGGGAAATGGTGTACCGATTAGAAATGCGCTGTTTTCGTTTTTAACGATCATCGAAGTCGGTCGACGGGATGATTAACTATTCTTTGCGTTGTTGGCCAGGCTGAAGAGGACGTCCTGGTAAATATCTTGCTGAAACTTTGGGCAAAGCTAGCGGAGAATCCAAGTCGATGGGAATCCGTGCAGAAACTACTCGGTAAGTAACATTAAAGTTACAGTTCTATGGAGTAGCTGGTAGTTTGTTGGGATTTCGAGAAAATGTGTCTGATAGGTACACTGCTGTTAGGAAATATCGGCACACCCTGTACATCGTATTCTCAACTACAGACGTTTCTCTTTGAGACTTTGTCACAGACTACTTTGGTCTTCGCCTGGTTGCAAAAGTAAAGGTACTGTAACTATTTTATTTGACACTAGAGCGACCAAACTTGTCGAAATGACACATTTCTTATTTACGCTCTTTGGAAGTGTAGAGTGACTTTTGTTGAGATAAAGAAATCAGTATACAGGGTGTCCGAATTTTTATCTTTGCCATAGGACGTGCCGATAAAGTTTGATAAAAAAAAATTGGAACTCACTGTACTTGAGTTTGTTCAAATTTTTACGATACTTTGTAAGAACAGTGTACTTTTTTATGGAGACAGCGTACCGTCTCTAGCGCAGCTTCCAAAAATTCTCCAAACGCACGATTACGATAATTAAATAAAAATTCGATCTCGTGACAAGTGATTAAAGAGTTGAATTACACTTCTTCGTTCAACTTGCAAGACAATCTCAGTTTGCTTCACAATTCCCCAAGTATCTTAATACTCGCTCTACCTACAAACGCACTCGTCGTTCTTGTCAGAACTCAGAATTTTCGAGGAAGGAAGAGCGAGAAGAAACGTGACACGACGCAATTTGCCGTCGAAAAATAAAAATCAAGTTCGTCAACAGCCTATCAAGTAAGGAAGGCGAGGTGAAAGGTTGATGGAGGAAGTTCCGCGAGTAAAATCACGGCGGAGTGACTTTGTCGCGAGCGTGCTCGCGGTCTCGGAAAGAAGGAACCTGTTGCAACCCTGACGAAGTCTCTCCTCCGTTGATTATCGTTTCGCGCGCGACTTGCATATGAGAATAACGAGCGTTGCAACGTCGAGACGCAGGGCCGCGTAACTCACGACTCGCTATTCCGTGACGAAAGTTGAAATACCGCTGTTAGATAAGAAACACACTGACACACAGAAGAGCGCAGGCTAATCTCTTTGCGAACGGGAAGGTTAGAAAAAGAGAAGCGAACCGACCGACTTCTGTCTCGTAAACGAGTTGCGTACAGTAGTATCTCGTAACCGATTGATAATAGTAATCGCGACCTCTTCGTGGCACGGAATTACCGACAGTGATTTATCGGAATTTTCTCTGACGTTGTGGAAAGAATAGGATCGAAAAGCTTTCTGCTTCGATTCGTTCTATTTATTGTCCACTTGCTTTTCAGCGTATACAACTACGAGAAACCACACACGCGTGCTTCCGTCTCCTTCTGATTTCTAGCTTTCTCCTTAACCCTTTCGCCACGGCAAATTTTACTGCGTAAGTAACGAGGAAGATTAATGGTAAATGTTTAATCACGATTGCGAAATTTGTTCTTTCGGGTGTATCCTTTTAACCCTTTCAACTCCATTGTCGAGTGTGACTCGACAGCAACTTTATTCACTGGTACTCCTACGTCGAGACACACTCGACATTTTTAAATTGTTGGTTTTCTGGAAATGAAAAGAAAATTTTTAGAAAATTGGGAGTTCGAACGGTTGAAATTTGATTTATGAAGTAAGCTGGAACTGCGTGGTGGATAACATTCGGTATTGAATTAAGGTGGAAGTGTATCAAGTGGCTCCATACAGTATAGTGTAAAATTAAGGTGGAAGTGTATCGAGTGGGCTCCATACAGTATAATGCGAGCGAATTTTCAATATAAAATGCAGTATTAAATTAAGGTGGAAGTGTATCAAGTGGCTCCATACAGTATAGTGTAAAATTAAGGTGGAAGTGTATCAACTGAGCCCCATACAGTATAATGCGAGCGAATTTTCAAAATAAAATGCAGTATTAAATTAAGGTGGAAGTGTATCAAGTGGCTCTATATAGTATAGTGTAAAATTAAGGTGGAAGTGTATCAACTGAGCTCCATACAGTATAATGCGAGCGAATTTTCAAAATAAAATGCAGTATTAAATTAAGGTGGAAGTGTATCAAGTGGCTCCATACAGTATAGTGTAAAATTAAGGCGGAAGTGTATCAACTGAGCTCCATGATACAGTATAATGCGAGCGAATTTTCAAAATAAAATCAGTATCTAAAATTAAGGTGGAAGTGTATCAAGTGTCTCCGTGTGGTACACTTCCGGCGAATTTTGAGTATTAAATTAAGGTGGAAGGGTATCAAGTGACTCCATACAGTTCAATGCCAGCAAATTTTCAAAATAAAATTCAGTATCGAATTAAGGTGTACATTTCCAGCGAGTTTTCATAAACGCCTATAGTAACGAAAGGGTCAAGAACTGGAACGTAGATTTTTTTCCTTAAACGTTGATAATTTTCTTCGACGAAGATCGATCTGGTTCACGCGACGAGTAATCGATTAATAATCCTTCCCCTTCCGGCCAAGAATCTTCTCGCGTTGCTTCATCAGCTCCTCCGACGTGATTATCACTTGACATTTGTTCGCGTATTGGAGACACGTCATGTTACCGCAGCATTGCTGACTGCTCGTGCACTGAGGACAAGAAGATAAAATCCGCGTTAACGAACCGGTGTCAGGTGAGCTCTTATCGACTACTGTACAATCAACGAGTAACGTCATTTTACACTCACCGGATCGCCGTAACGACCGCACAATTCTGGAGCCGCGTCGATCAAACTGCTGGCCAACAGAACCACACACAGGAACAGCATCAACTTAGACATTTTCACCTGGATTCTGTTTTCCTTTTTGTTTTCTTCTGTAACCGGAGAGTAAACGAAGTTTATCGAATAATGTTTCCAAGCGGACAGAAGTAATTCACACGCAGCGGAATCTCTCGTTTGATCGACTGGTCGCGGTCGGCGGTCGCGAGGATCGATGAAATTTCCGTCGGTTACGCAAGCGAGTTTCGCACGAGAAGAACGTACACAGGTGACCGTGAGTGACTCATTAAGTTGCTGAACTGACTTGTTTTTGAACAGAGTGACTAAAAAGGTACGGTCATGGTCGACCGTTTACGTACGTCGTCAATCTACTTTGCGACAATGGCGTTACGCGCTTGAATAAAATTCTGCGGAATTCTGCCACTGTACACATGCTTGGAATGAAAATTAGGCTCGTGAATAAATCTAGACTCTTACTGATTATACCGTCTCGATGTAAATAGTACGAACGTAGAATTTTATAGGCTAGCGTTCATTTATTGCACTGTTTCCTATGGAATTGTGGATTATATTTTAGGTTATGGTAGTTTTTAGTTGGATCTGTAGATGCTGGCTATATTATTCATTACAGATTGACGTTTTGTATTACTTTAGACTGCTGGTTCGTAAGTTAGGATTAAGCAAAATGAAAACGGACCTCGTAATTCTAAAAGGAAAACAACAAACACACGTAGAATTTGATTAAGAGATTCGTCCATTTTTCCAAGCGAATAAAGAAAGATTTTTTAACGTGCTTTTGCAAGAGCCAAGTATAGTTCGCGGAGGCGGAGATAACGGTACTTAAAGTCCCATCTACACTAACGAGATCAACAACGTAATAAAATGACAGCAATACGTGTCATCGTGCGTTCAAAGTTCGCTGCACGTCCCAGTTGATATATCGCAAAGCTTGCAAAGTATTCCGGGGAAAAGTTGAGAAATTTGACGAAACTCACGAAACATCTGTGTGTGTTTTTCCACCGTTAAACGTTTCTTTTTTTTTTTTTTATGTTAATTATTCACGATTGAAATTCGACGCAACGATCACTGTTTCACCGTGACGACGACGCTCGAGAACTGGACAACTCGAAACAAGTCCTTGGAGACGGTAAAAACTGCGCATGAATACTCTTCTACTCACCAGAAAAAACGTTCGTCGAAGCGGATTTCACGGCGGTTTCTCGACGGTGATAGCGGCAAGTGTTCGACCTTAACTGATTTCTCGTCTTTTATACCACCGCGTCGAGTCACTCCGGACCCCTCTTTAAACTCCGTGCATCACGTACGGAGCGTATATGGAGGTGTGCGTGGACTCGAAGAGTGCGAGAGGTCATAGCGAGAAATGTAGCATTTCTGAGTATACGAGGCGAGTACACGCGTTATCCGCGGTTGATCGTGTTTTAAGAAACGCGATTTTCTCGATGTTTGCCGCGTTCCAGGTTCCACTATGCGGAACTAAATGAGATCACGTTGCACAATCCATCGGTCGATCAATTTTCCACGTCTTTGTCGGTTTATTTATGGGCACAAACGTTTCACACTTTATTTGCTTCTTTAGTTGGAGGATTTTCAAACATTTCTGGGAGACGTAGAATTTAGCGGTGAGCTTTGAAATTGTAAAAAAATGGTAAAATTTTTATATTTATTGCAAATTTTTTGGGAAGATGAAAGTGTATACTTTGTTCTGTTGTTAAGGAGGATTTTCAAACATTTGGAGGAGACCTAGAATTTCTGTAGTAAGGTTGAATTTTTAAAAATTGAAAAAAAATGGTAATTGGCAAAAATTTCATATTTATTGCAAATTTTTGGGGGAAAGTGGAAATTGTACTTTGTTCTGTTGTTAAAGAGGATTTTCAAATGTTTTGCGGAGACCTAGAATTTCTCTAGTAAAGTTGAATTTTGAAAAATTGAAAAAAAATGGTAATTGGCAAAAATTTCATATTTATTGCAAATTTTTGGGGGAAAGTGGAAATTGTACTTTGTTCTGTTGTTAAAGAGGATTTTCAAATGTTTTGCGGAGACCTAGAATTTCTCTAGTAAAGTTGAATTTTGAAAAATTGAAAAAAAATGGTAATTGGCAAAAATTTCATATTTATTGCAAATTTTTGGGGGAAAGTGGAAATTGTACTTTGTTCTGTTGTTAAAGAGGATTTTCAAATGTTTTGCGGAGACCTAGAATTTCTCTAGTAAAGTTGAATTTTGAAAAATTGAAAAAAAATGGTAATTGGCAAAAATTTCATATTTATTGCAAATTTTTGGGGGAAAGTGGAAATTGTACTTTGTTCTGTTGTTAAAGAGGATTTTCAAATGTTTTGCGGAGACCTAGAATTTCTCTAGTAAAGTTGAATTTTGAAAAATTGAAAAAAAATGGTAATTGGCAAAAATTTCATATTTATTGCAAATTTTTGGGGGAAAGTGGAAATTGTACTTTGTTCTGTTGTTAAAGATGATTTTCAAATGTTTTGGGGAGACCTAGAATTTCTGTAGTAAGGTTGAATTTTTTAAAAATTTTAAAAAATGGTAATTGGCAAAAATTTTATATTTATTGCAAATTTTTTGGGGCGATGAAAGTGTATACTTTGTTCTGTTGTTAAAGATGATTTTCAAATGTTTTGGGGAGACCTAGAATTTCTGTAGCAAGGTTGAATTTTTAAAAAATTTTAAAAAATGGTAATTGGCACAAATTCCAGACTTTCGTTGCAAATTTTGTTTCGTTCTGTTATCGGGTACAGTCATTTTCGACGATTTTCGAAATAATAGGTTCGAAAGTGAAGTGAAACACCGATATCTATGCACGTGCAATTTCAGACCAATTCAGGTATCTATTATCATATGTACATGGCCTTGTAAAAGATGCGACGATTAGCTGCACTTAACACGTTGACTGCCAAGCCTATTTTGAAGAAATCTGTTCTAGATGCCAACATTTTTTTTCCAATTTATTGTATAGAATTAAACAAACACATATTAATTTTTATATTATGACTTTAATTTGAATTGTTCTTTTGCAAAAAAATGCTTTCAAAATATGTAACTTCTACCAGCAAACTGCCAACTACGAGTTATCTCGTAGCTGGGCAGTCAACGTGTTAATTTAGACATAGATAATAACGATTTTAAACGAGCATACGTAAGTGAAAAGAATTTAGGTGATTCAGTCAAAACTCTAACAAGAAAGAGTCATTATTCCTATTAGTTTCAATGAGAAATCGTTTTCTCTTTTTAACGCGACTGTAGGTTGTATTTAACGATAGGAGGATAGTGCGTGATCTGGGTTACTTAGTACCCACACAGTAAGTTCTCCTTTTTAGTTTTTATTATTTTTCTGGCTCACGAGGTGACCAGTTTACTTATTGCCTACCGACTGTCTGCTTGACTCACCCTGACTCTCCAAGTCACCTCGCGAGCTTCTTTCTCACCCTCTTCTTTTTCCTGATTGGTTACCCCCAACTTAGTGGTTGTAACCAATCAGGAATTTTGTCTTTAACCCGCCGCTAGTCCTTTGCGCCCCTGGCGCGCTTTTTCCAGGACCGCGGCGAATTATGGTGGGGGCGTATTGTCCGCTGTAGCGCATTTGGCGGATTTTCCTCCAGGTCCGATACTTGGGACATGTGGCTTGGGCCTCTGGGCCCGTATGGTGAGGGCGTATTGTCCGCTGTAGCGCATTTGGCGGATTTTCCTCCAGGTCCGGTACTTGGGACATGTGGCTTGTGTCTCTGGGCCCGTACTAATTATTCACGATTGAAATTCGACGCAACGATCACTGTTTCACCGTGACGACGACGCTCGAGAACTGGACAACTCGAAACAAGTCCTTGGAGACGGTAAAAACTGCGCATGAATACTCTTCTACTCACCAGAAAAAACGTTCGTCGAAGCGGATTTCACGGCGGTTTCTCGACGGTGATAGCGGCAAGTGTTCGACCTTAACTGATTTCTCGTCTTTTATACCACCGCGTCGAGTCACTCCGGACCCCTCTTTAAACTCCGTGCATCACGTACGGAGCGTATATGGAGGTGTGCGTGGACTCGAAGAGTGCGAGAGGTCATAGCGAGAAATGTAGCATTTCTGAGTATACGAGGCGAGTACACGCGTTATCCGCGGTTGATCGTGTTTTAAGAAACGCGATTTTCTCGATGTTTGCCGCGTTCCAGGTTCCACTATGCGGAACTAAATGAGATCACGTTGCACAATCCATCGGTCGATCAATTTTCCACGTCTTTGTCGGTTTATTTATGGGCACAAACGTTTCACACTTTATTTGCTTCTTTAGTTGGAGGATTTTCAAACATTTCTGGGAGACGTAGAATTTAGCGGTGAGCTTTGAAATTGTAAAAAAATGGTAAAATTTTTATATTTATTGCAAATTTTTTGGGAAGATGAAAGTGTATACTTTGTTCTGTTGTTAAGGAGGATTTTCAAACATTTGGAGGAGACCTAGAATTTCTGTAGTAAGGTTGAATTTTTAAAAAATTTTAAAAAATGGTAATTGGCAAAAATTTTATATTTATTGCAAATTTTTGGGGGAAAGTGGAAATTGTACTTTGTTCTGTTGTTAAAGAGGATTTTCAAATGTTTTGCGGAGACCTAGAATTTCTCTAGTAAAGTTGAATTTTGAAAAATTGAAAAAAAATGGTAATTGGCAAAAATTTCATATTTATTGCAAATTTTTGGGGGAAAGTGGAAATTGTACTTTGTTCTGTTGTTAAAGATGATTTTCAAATGTTTTGGGGAGACCTAGAATTTCTGTAGTAAGGTTGAATTTTTTAAAAATTTTAAAAAATGGTAATTGGCAAAAATTTTATATTTATTGCAAATTTTTTGGGGCGATGAAAGTGTATACTTTGTTCTGTTGTTAAAGATGATTTTCAAATGTTTTGGGGAGACCTAGAATTTCTGTAGTAAGGTTGAATTTTTTAAAAATTTTAAAAAATGGTAATTGGCAAAAATTTTATATTTATTGCAAATTTTTTGGGGCGATGAAAGTGTATACTTTGTTCTGTTGTTAAAGATGATTTTCAAATGTTTTGGGGAGACCTAGAATTTCTGTAGCAAGGTTGAATTTTTAAAAAATTTTAAAAAATGGTAATTGGCACAAATTCCAGACTTTCGTTGCAAATTTTGTTTCGTTCTGTTATCGGGTACAGTCATTTTCGACGATTTTCGAAATAATAGGTTCGAAAGTGAAGTGAAACACCGATATCTATGCACGTGCAATTTCAGACCAATTCAGGTATCTATTATCATATGTACATGGCCTTGTAAAAGATGCGACGATTAGCTGCACTTAACACGTTGACTGCCAAGCCTATTTTGAAGAAATCTGTTCTAGATGCCAACATTTTTTTTCCAATTTATTGTATAGAATTAAACAAACACATATTAATTTTTATATTATGACTTTAATTTGAATTGTTCTTTTGCAAAAAAATGCTTTCAAAATATGTAACTTCTACCAGCAAACTGCCAACTACGAGTTATCTCGTAGCTGGGCAGTCAACGTGTTAATTTAGACATAGATAATAACGATTTTAAACGAGCATACGTAAGTGAAAAGAATTTAGGTGATTCAGTCAAAACTCTAACAAGAAAGAGTCATTATTCCTATTAGTTTCAATGAGAAATCGTTTTCTCTTTTTAACGCGACTGTAGGTTGTATTTAACGATAGGAGGATAGTGCGTGATCTGGGTTACTTAGTACCCACACAATAAGTTCTCCTTTTTAGTTTTTATTATTTTTCTGGCTCACGAGGTGTACAGTTTACTTATTGCCTACCGACTGTCTGCTTGACTCACCCTGACTCTCCAAGTCACCTCGCGAGCTTCTTTCTCACCCTCTTCTTTTTCCTGATTGGTTACCCCCAACTTAGTGGTTGTAACCAATCAGGAATTTTGTCTTTAACCCGCCGCTAGTCCTTTGCGCCCCTGGCGCGCTTTTTTATATAAACAATTCTTAAAGGTTAGTTATGTGCAAGTCCAATGTCCGAATGTACGAAGTTCAGTGTTGAGACCGTTGGTGAAAGTTTCTACGAAAACATGCATTGTTAGATTTACTAAACATTAAACAGACTAAAACAGTTTTCTCAAAAATAGCTTTGCTAGCGCGCCCGTCATAAACCGTGTTGGTCGTCCGCGCAAAACATGCATTGTTAGATTTACTAAACATTAAACAGACTAAAACAGTTTTCTCAAAAATAGCTTCGCTAGCGCGCCCGTTATAAACCGTGTTGGTCGTCCGCGCGGCAAATGCTTACTTCTGCACTACAGCTGGTCGCTACGCGACGATTGATAAATTAACGATAAGCAAACAATGTCCGTTAAGTACAGTGAAACGAAACCATAAAAGCCACTATTTTAAGACATAGTTCACAGTTACAGTTAACGGAACAACCCATATTTCTCAACTACTATTATAACACTACAAATAACAGTGACGTTCGGTAATGGAAAGTACGCGATACTGTCCATTCCCAGAAAAACTGAACTTATCTCTTCCTTCGAATTATTTACAAACATTCGTGCGCCGATAAAACATTTGACAAACATTTGCGATAATTGCTCCTCTTCGAAGAAGCAGAAGAAAAGGAAAAACAGTCGTCGAGTCGATAACGTTCCGAGAACACAAACTACCACTTAAACGCAAAAGAAAAATAGAACGGAAGAACCGATTGTTTTCCTCTTTCCGTTCTACGCTGCGCAATTTTGCACGGATAAAAAATCGCAAAATCGAATTTTCGGAAAAAATGTCTTTATCGTTAACAGGCGAATTATGCGGAAAAGTTGGGTTCTCGACGGTAGCAAGAAGCCATTCACGGGTAAATAGATTGCAGTCGGAGCGTTAGACTGTTAAAAGGAAAAAGGGTGCCGCGAAAGAGAAGACCCGCCGCCGCTAATCGCGTTTCAGTCGACCGAGGAATCCAATAAAGCCTCACAATAGGTCGATTAGACGGATAGTGTCTGCATTATTGCCCGGTGTAATTGCCTCCTGACAATTAGCCGGTCCGTATAACGTGGAAATCAATGTAATTCGCCGGTGAGAGGGTAGAGCGTCAGCCCCGTTCCGATTTTCCCTGGTTGCATTCCGGCAACTTCCGCCTCAAGCCCCCCGTACTCTTTTTCAACCCTCCCACCTTTTCATCCACTCATTCGATTACTTCCTGCCGCGTGGAACAATACGTTAACCCGTTTCACGCCCACTCTTGCTGTTTCGCTTTGCCCCGACAGAATTAACCGGAAACAAAGGAAACGAACGTATCCTGAATCGAACTCTGGCCGATGGTCTTCTTAAATGCTCCATAAATTCTGGATAATTCTAGGGGGACGTGCTGTGACAATGGATGTAGCTTTTAGGTGATAGAATGATAAGAAGAAATTTGTAGCGGGGGTTTGCTTTTGTGCATCTTCTGTTTGGGAGAATGTAAAGTGGGATGGAAACGTAGGAGAGATTTGGTAGAGGAGGGATGTGATCCTGGACGTCGAATGGGTCTGGAATGAATCTTAGAAAAGAGGGGGAAATGGGTCCTAGAAGACAGGGAAAAATGAGTCCTAGAAGGCAGGGAAAAATGAATCCTAGGAAACAGGGTAAAAACAGGGGAAGATGGGTCCTAGAAGACAGGAGAAAAACAGAGGAAAATGGGTCCTAGGAGACAGGGGAAAATGAGTCCTAGAAAACAGGGTAAAAACAGAGGAAAATGCTAGAAGACAGCGCAAAAACAGGGTAGAATGGGTCCTAGAAAACAGCAGAAATACAGGGGAGAGTGGGCCCTAGAAGACAGGGTAAAACACGGGAAAAATGGGTCCTAGAAAACGTGGGAAAACCAGGGGAGAATGGGTCCTCGAAACCATGGGAAAAACAGTGGAGAATGGGTCCTAGAAAATAGGAAAAAAACAGGGGAGATTGGGTCCTAGAAAACAAGAGGAAAGCGGGGGTAAATGGGTCCCAGAAAATAGAGGAAAAACAAGGGAGAATCGGTTATAGAAAACAGAGAAAAAAGAGAGGAGAATGGGTCCTAGAAAGCAGCGGAAACACAGGGGAGAATGGGCCCTAGAAGACAGGGAAAATTGGGTCCTAGAAAACGTGGGAAAAGTAGGGGAAAATGGGTCATAAGAACAGGGGAAAAACAGAAGAGAATGAATGCTAAAAGACAGGAGAGAATGGGTCCTAGAAAACGGAAAAAATACCAGGGAAATCGTTCGCAAGGATACTAAGACCAACAGTGAAGCTGTCCACGATAGGTCTCACTCATCTAAATAGCTACCTTTCAATTTTTTAATTCTCTTTCCTAAAACAATCCAAATTTCTTTTCACCCTTCCTAAAAAAAAAATCCCACCGGAATTACTTTGATCGCTTCACTTAAATCCGATATCATCCGTCATTTCGGTATTCCGCGATAAAAAGCGAAGCAGCCAGAGTGAAAAGAGCAGAGGTTTTTCAACTGTTTAACCGAAATTTTTCCGACGATTACCGTCGAAGAGCGAGCACAGGGATTACAAAAGGAAGGGGTAGGATTAAAGCGAGATCGTTCCGCGATCTCCTTTCGTTCCGACTGCGAGCGAAACGCGTCCCTTAATTTTCTAACAAACGCGTAGCGGTCGCACGCGGCTCCGGTAATGTATACAGGGACAGTGAATAATCCGGGAACAAGTTAGTCCGTGCATCGGAGCCGAGTACGAGCAGTAGGTAAAGCGCTTTACGCGCGAAACCATCTTAATCTCCATTACAGGAACAATGCCGCTTTAATAATGGCCATTTGCTAGCGCTGATGGATGAGCGCCGCGAGCAACGGAACCCACTTTCCAGTGGACGTATCGCGACGCGCTTTTTATGAGAAATAAATCGACCTGGCTCACCGTTACCGACACCAGAGGAACATTCTTTCTCGCCAGATAACGTCCTATTCCCTATAGCGAAATTTCTCTCCTTTGCAAAGAAAAAAAGTACTCTTTCTTATTTCGCAGATTTACCCTTTAACCCTTTGACTTGGCTGCCTTTCGGTACCTATGCGAGAACTGCCACCCCGTGCGTTTATATTCGGAGTATCTCTCCTCTGAGTGTCGAGTTGCTTTCGCTCACGCTTAGGATTCAAAATTTTCTTTTAGTTCGAAAAACAGTATCGGTAAAACTAATGTATTATAGTATCCGGGCCTCCAGACCCAAATAGGAAACCGACGAGGAAAAATAGAGAAGGAGTTATTGGCGTAATGAGTAAAGCCTCGGCTTGCCAAGTCGGAGGTCCCGGGTTCGATTCCCGGTTGGGTCCCCCGAAATTTTTCTTCGTCTCTACACTAATGTAAGGAGATATTACTATAGAAAATAATTTTCCACGCATAATCTGTATAATTTAACACTATTTATTATTAAATATTTCATTACACCACAGTTGCACTCCATATCTAAGTTCGAAAAGAAGTAAAAACCAAAACTTCCCTCCACAAGCTTCGCGTAGATGGGCCTGACAAGTAAACTTGAACAAAATTTTCTCTGTCAACAGAGAACAAGAAGAACAATCTGGAAATATCGAGAAACACTCTGGACCCAGCTAAAAGAAGCTACGAATCCACGTCTACGCTGTTCCCCAGCACGTCAGAATCCTCCGGCGAGTCGAGAAAGTCGCGAAAAAAGTCGAAGAAGAAGAAGAAGCCTAGACATCGTTTCTCAACGACCACCTTGCCTCCAGTACCAGCTACTCCTCCTCTGTTCACCACGACGGAAACACCTTGGCAAACGACGCCTGGTCGGTGGCGTTTGGTCGCGGAGAGACTGTTCGGTGCACCCCGGCAACAGGATCTGCAGGAGGGAACTCAGAAAACCACGAGTCCTCAGTATTCGGTGTCTCAGAGCCCTAGAAGCTTGCCCTCTATCAGAGAGCTGATCGAACAGAACAAATCGAAGAGTAACCTGAAGTCGTTCCCGGCCGATAGGAAACTGCCGGACGAATTTGAAGGACTTGATAAGCAGAGGTTGTTCGAGAGGATTAGAGTTCATCTACCTGCCAGCGGACAGCCTCGTAGAGAACTCTACGCCAAACCTACTACGACAGGTTTGTTAACCCTCTACCGTCGAGGCGGAGACTCCGCTGATTCTGTCTTCCTTCTTCTCTTCCGTTCTACTTAGAACTGAACGTTGTTGTATTAACCCTCGTACGACGAATGCAGGGTCGCTTTAGGCGGCTCGGATTAGAAAATACACCAATAAACGAGAAAAATATAAAATACATGTATTTATAGCCAATTCTTTCTCGAAACCCGTGTCAAATAGAAATGTTGTTAAAATGATCCTGCATTCGCCTTCCGATGGTTAAAATGAAAGTAACCCTTTGCACTCCTTTGTCGAGTGTTTGACTCTTTTCTGACAATTTTGTCATTTTTCCGTATACTCATATGCTAATTCGAACCGATTATATTAAATTCTCTTGGTTTTGAAGTATCTAGAGAAAAGAGCGACGATTGCTTGATTAAGTGGCGACGCGACAAACTTTGTTGCTCGTCAATCAGAAATCTGTGGAACTTTTTCGTCGAGAACTTTCAAACTCCTCAGAAGAATCTTGCGAGAATGAGACTAGTTTCACACTTTTCTTGCTGAAGAGCTACGAGAAGATCCACGATCGAAAGATTTCTACTAGCTCGTTAAGAATTCGTAAAATGGATCTTCTCAGTTTGGACAGAAAGCGTCTTCATTTCCAGACTTTTCGAGTGACTCTAATTTTTCAGAACCAAAACGGATGCCAGACTACGACATCCCGGAAGAGTACCGCCGTTTGGGATACAACCAGCTTCCGCAGACATCCAGAGAGTACCAGAGAAGACGCGGGGAGGACTACCAGAGCGATTTCAACGTCCAATCCGACGGATATTCTCGCAATCAAGACTTCAGACCGCAGCCTGAGGAGTACGCGTTGAGCAAGAGCTGGCCCGATCTCTCCTACAGGTACACTCCACCTTGGAGAGTCGAGGAACACTCTCTGCTGCCTACAACCTCCGAAAAGTGGCCTTGGAGGCAGCCTCCGAGCGATTCTCAGTACTGGTTCGAACGTAGCAGCTTTCTTCCGGAGGAGAAGAGCTACTGGTCCGGCTTGGACCAGCAAGAAGACGCCGAACAGGAGGCAGAGGCTGGTAAGATGTGGCAGCAGCACTCTTGGAACAGAGACAGATCAGGCTGGCCTGTAGAGAAGCCTCTGAAAGTGTCTCCGTCGTGGCAGCTAGGCGACGCGAAGCTGTACGATCGCGATCCGGCGAACGGTGTCTGGGAGAAGAGCAAGAATCGTTCCGAGTTGAACAAGTCTTCGACGAAGCAGGATTCGAAGGAGAAGGTAGTTCTACCAGAGATCACGATGATGACCTGGAACAGCTTGACCTCTGACCCAGCCACCTGGCCTCACAAGCTGCCCGGAGTTAAACCGTGGCCCAAGGACGAGAACGGTAAATCGTACAATCCTAACGCCGATCTGGTGAAGAAACTGGGACTGGACAAGCAGAACAACGGCGTCTGGTCGAAGGAAGAGGCCGAGAAGTCGAACGGAGAGAGGAAGATGAAGGAGGAGAAGCAGAACAGGATGTTCTTGTCCAAAGAACAGGATTTATCGCAAACAGACGCTTCTAAGTACGCGTCGAACAACGACAGGAGCAACTTCAGCGACTACAAGCCTAGATCCTGGATGAAGTCTGACAGCATGCAGGGAGACGACGCCGGAGCTTGGAGGAGGAAGTACGACGGGAAGAGCTCGTGGAGCAACGAAGCTGCTTTGCCTAAAATCCAGTCTGTAGGAGCCTGGGTTATGGCAGCCGATCAATCCACCTGGAAACCTTATCAGATCAAACCGATGGAAGCCTCCGACGAGAACGCTTCGAGAAGATGGTCGAAACCACTGGGCAGGTCTAACGTCGACTTGAAGTGGCCTAACAAAGGATCCTGGACGGAGAAAGTGAAGGATTCCTGGATGAAACAGTCGAGCATGTCCCTCTGGCCTGATAAACCAAACGTCCCAGAGCTGTGGCAGGGAAAATTGAACAAACAAAGCTCGTGGTTCCCGAAAACGAAGGATCCAGACACCTGGACGTCCAAGTCCAGCAATCCTGAGCCCTGGAAGATGAAAGGAGACTGGTTGACAAAGCCAGAATCTTCTTCGTGGCTCTCTAAAGTAGGCGAGAACAATTCTTGGGCTACCAGAGGCAGTTCTTGGTCCACAAAGTCCAACGAATCCTGGACCTCGAAGACGAACGACGACGTGTCCAAGTTCAACGGCGATTCCTGGCCTGTGAAGGTTAAGGAAGAGGACTCGGACGACGCCTGGTCGAGGAAATCCACCGAGCAGAACTTGTCCCCGTGGCAGCAGAAGATGAACGACGAGTGGAACTACGGGAAAGCTAGCTCGACGGGGACGTGGCCCACGAAGTGGAAGCAGTTCGCGTATCATCGCGTGACAGCCATGCCTATCTCGAAGCCTGGAACCACAGCGGACGCAGCTTCGTCCAAGTCGAAGAACGCTTTCGTCGCCGTGTCCGCGGTCTCTTCGCCCAAGTACACCGGAAACGAGTGGAGGAAGAACGAGGAGGACACGAGGAACGAGAACGGTCGGCTGGAGGAGCAAGAGAGGTCTCGCAATCAGCTGCAGGTGGGTTTGGAGGGGCCTATCTACGCGTGGAAGAAGGATTCCGGTCTGAGAGGCGGCCTGGCGAAAGGGAACAGCAGCGATCCGCTGGAGAACCAGCTGGAGGCACTCAGGCAAATTGACTTCTGGTCCTACAAAGAGAACGAGGCCGAGGTGAGCGCTCGATTTGCGTTTTATTAAATTCCACAACCACCTATGGCAGTCTCGTTCGACAGACCGTCTGCCTTCCGGCTGCTGGTTCTATCGGGAATTAACGATGGAACGCGAGGAGCTAATTGGAAATGTATAATTTAAGAAGGTGAGAGTGGAAGTTATAGGAATTTCGACGTTAGAGTGGGCTGTTTTCGGCCATCGCTGCTGTTAAATTAAATCACTCGAGGCTGGCGATTTTTCGAAAGTCGGTCCTCAGGAGCGTAACTTTTTTTTTCAAAAATTGAGAAAAACAAACATGTTTGGGAAGTGAAAAATTAGCATTGTACACATTTCTCTCGCTGTCTACACTTATTTCGTGGTCCCAGCTTGGAACCAACGCAGGTTTTAGTATCTGCAGAGCTTTAACTTTTATTTTCCTTAAAAATTATCTTATTTCCGTGATTAGTACTTGAGTAATAACGTAATATGAGTCCATTTTGTTACACACTTTGTTCTCGGATCTCCGTTATTTCTTACTCGAATCATAGGCGAAGATCGTGGAGTTTCAGGCGTTCGGTGATTTCAGACTGTAACTCTCGATGCAATTGCTTTTATCACGCGAGACTGGCAATCCGTCTGCTCTTTATTCCAACAGGCATATCTAGTTAACAATAGAACGCTGTTGCAGGAAGTTTGCTCGAATACAACGTGTTCTTAATTATCTGCTTCATTTACCGTCTCGGAACGAACTTGGCTGTTACGATCGAGATATCTATTCGGTGACTGTAAGGGGCGGCAACAAGTCAGGAAGATCGCTCGTTGACGATGGAATCGAAAATTCGTTGGGTTCGAAGGGAATCGAAATCGTGTTCCAGGACGTGACGAGTTCAAGTTACGATCGTTTCGTGCCACATGCCACGGTGGAAAGTTTCACCGGGATTGGATCTACGGCGGATTGTAACCCGCGGACTTTCTTAACCGCTAATTCGTCCACTGTAAACTCGCCCCTAGCGAGCTAGATGCAATTTCCTCGGGACTAATCCGACTGAGTTTCGCGCGGTAGAATTCTCTACTGAGGTATCTGGACCGTTTTTTGGCAGGTTGAAAAATGGTCCTGCTGCATCTCGCCTTGGGAACATATTTTTACATATTTGTGCATTTAGAATTAGTTGGTGTAATTTTTTCTTACCTCTCTAATCACCGTGGACATTTTGATTAGGCTGAAAAATGGTCCAGATGCATCGCGGATTTTACGAATATATTTTTGCACACTTGTGCATTTGTAGTTTACAATGCTTCAAAAATTAGGGTCTTTTAGATGGTTGGTGTGTTCTTCTCTCATCTCTACTCACCGTCGATTTTTTGATTAGGTTTAAAAATGGCCCAGATATGTCGCGAATATTACGAACACACTTTTACACGTTTGTGTATTTATAATTAGGCTTTTTTTAGATATATTGTTGGTGTATTCTGGACAACTTTTTGATTAGGTTTTTGAGAACATATTTTTACACACTTGTGTATTTATAGTTTCAAATATTAGGGTTTTAACAATTTTTTGTTTAGGCTTTTACGAACATATTTTTACACACTTGTGTATTTATAATTTCCGATGCTTCTCTGCTTGCATTATTTTCAAAAATTAGGGTCCTTTTAAATAGGTAGTCCATTCTTCTCTTATCTCTAATCACCGTCGATTCAGACAATTTTTTAGTTAAGCTTCTACAAACATATTTTTGTTCATTTACAGTTTCCAACGTTTCCCTGCTTGCACCATTTTCAAACACTAGAGTCTTCTTAAACGGTTGGTGTGTTCTTCTTTCATCGCTAATCACCGTCGATCGACCGAAACCTACAACCGTTCCGAGTCAGGAAGTTCCCTAAACATCGACGGTGTTTGAATTTCGGCAGAGAACCGGAGAAACAACGTTCGATTCCTCGTCAGGCCAAACTACGAGGACAACTAGGATCCCCGTTGAACCGCGAACCGCAATTAGAACGGTCAAATAAACGTTGGCCGAAATTTAAGCGAATCAAACGAGCAAGAACGGTCGATTCTTCTCTCCGTCCTTTTTAACGAACTGTGGAACCGGTCTCTGCCGGTTGACAAAACGAGAGGAAGTTTGTGATCTCGAGCCGGGCTATTTAAGAGGGAGGCGAAAAGACACTCGAATTGGAAGTAATCCCGGGGCATCGCGACGCTTTTACGTGCCGCAATTTCCGGGATCCGTTGACGAGGACGTGCCTGGACTCGCTTGACCCCGGAAGTGAGCGATGCGCTTCCTTCCTGCCCGCGGACCTTACGTGATCCCTGCTCTGATTGCGAAAGTTCGCCGCGTCGCGACCGTGCCGAACGTAAAGCTCCGCTCTACTTCCCCTTCCGATATAGAAATTCCCGGCCGGATCGCGTCCACCTATTGGCCCGGAGCAAACAAATAGACGTGGATTCTCTGTCACCCTTTTCTCGCACGGCTAATAAACGCGATCGATGGATCGTTGGATCTTCTTGGGAACGGTGTCTCTGTCGACGGAACGATTGTTTCGTTGGGAGTAGGAAGATTTTAGGAATTCTTTTGCATCGACTGTACGTAGAGGGTGAGGGACGTAGAACGTGAGAAGTGAAAAGTGTTGGAAATATTGGCGTAATGAGAAAATTTTCGGAAGAATTGAGGAATTTGGGAGACACTTTTTTCGACATCTTTTTTCTGAAAGGAATTGTACAGTTTCGGACGAATTCGGTGACTGTGGTCACTCAGGGTATAACGAAGTACAGTCGGTGGAAGAAATATAGGGAAGATCGCAACTTTTCTCGTTCCTTAAGTATATCGATCATTTATATAACTGAAACGAAGGATTTCTTTGAAAATAAGCAATGGAATGACCGAATTCAGTGACTGTGGTCACTCAGGGTATAATGAAGTACAGTCGGTGGAAGAAATATAGCGAAGATCGCAACTTTTCTCGTTCCTTAAGTACATCAATTATTCAAGTAACTGAAATGAAGGATTTCTTCGAAAATAAGCACTGAAATGACCGAATTCAGTGACTACAGTCACTCAAGGTATAATAAAGTACAGTCGGTGGAAGGAATATAAAGAATATAGTAACTTTCCTCGTTCCTTAAGTACATCAATTATTCAAGTAACTGAAATGAAGGATTTCTTCGAAAATAAGCACTGAAATGACCGAATTCAGTGACTACAGTCACTCAGGGTATGATAAAGTATAGTCGGTGGAAGAAATGTAGCGAAGATCGCAACTTTTCTCGTTCCTTAAGTATATCGATCATTTATATAACTGAAACGAAGAATTTCTTTGAAAATAAGCGCTAGAATGACCGAATTCAGTGACTACAGTCACTCAAGGTATAATAAAGTACAGTCGGTGGAAGGAATATAAAGAATATCGTAACTTCCCTCATTCCTTAAGTACATCGATCATTTAAGCGAAACGAAGAATTCCTTCGAAAACGAATACTGCAATATTTAATTCCACAAACTACCTGTATTCAATTTCTCAATTTCCAGAAGAGATTGACGTCAACTAGCGCCACCACGGAAACGACGTCCATTGCGCCTACATACGGCACGTCGACGACAGGACATCGTCGAGGGAGCCTGATGGCAGGGAAGAGCAACGGCCTGCTCGAGACGAACCGGCGGACGATCTCGATGAAATAAGCGGAAGATTTACCTTAGATCCTTGATCTTGCCCGATCTGAGTACCGGTCTGTTCAGTCGACAATAGGCTACGCGAAGTCTCTGAGCAATTTCCAACGACTCTCTGGCCCCCTGCCAAGGTGCACCGAACCAAACCTATCCTGTCAGCCTGAGCAGCGAAATTTCTCGTCGATTTCAACTTTGATCGGCACGTCATACCACAAGGAACTATCCACTTATCTTCTATTTTCACCTGTGTTTTCTGTATTCCTCCTTACTCGATACACCTTTCTTTTCCCCCTCTCGCCCCTGTTTTTTCCTCAATTGTTAACCGAATGGTACACGTGTCGTATCGCATCCGAGTATGTTTGTCGTTGAATCGTGCTAACCATCGTGCCATATTTACCGAGCGTACGTGGGCGTGTTGCGAGAACAATCCACGGCTTGGAAAAATGTTATTTCAGAGGAGAAAGAGAGGAGAACGGAGGATCCTTGATGGATCGTTTTCTTTATTTCTTTCGCCATCTTTCTGTCTGTATTTTTTTGTTTTTTTTTTTTAAGAAACTCGAACTTCGAAGAACCTTCCGGGTTTGCTAGAGGAGCATCAACTTCAACGGCGATCTTCTCCGAATTTCTCAACTTTCTGCACTCTCTCTCTCTTCTCGAACACACTTTTCCCCTTTTATTCTTCTTTCTCTCCCCAGCTTTCTTTCTCTTTCATTCAACCAAGATTCTTCGAACCAATTTTCTCCGTGGCAGCATTCACCCCGGAGCTCTCCTCTCCTCCTCGAATTTTTATTTCAACCCACGTGGAAACCTGGCGAAAAGAATGAATCGTACGGTGTACGCGAAGATTCCAAGTACCGGGGGAGAGAAAGATTTTCACGGAAAGCTTCTCCCTTCTCCGCGGAATCCCGAGTTTCGAGGAGTCGCGTCCAACGAGAAAAAGAACGGTCAAACGTGTAATTCGGGGTTGCAGTCGAAGGATAGAATTTTCACGCCTACGTACGCACGCAGACTTCCGTTCCCTGTTTCGCGAACAGCCAATTCTAGTCTCGAGGGGATGTTGTAACGGTAGATTAATTAAACAGAGTCTAAGCTTCTTTTCCCGTTTTCTTGTTTTCGAGGCGACGAAAACTCGCCTGAGGAAATGTTATCGCAGAGCGGAATAATGCACGGTGTACCGGTGTCGAGGGGCTAACGTAAGAGCTTGTACGCTTTCACCAGCACGGAAACTGTAACTTCGCCGCGCAGAGAGTTTAGTAGGAAATCGAGTGAATATTTTTTCTACGGGACTGAAATTGTCGGTCACGGCCTAACGCCGTCGAATTCTAGGAAAATTGTTCAACCTTTCGAGTGCCCTTAGCGCATCACAAGTTGGTTCCTCTCGTCTGTTTTAAGAAGAACGACCAAAAGCATAGGAAACAATCTTTCGAACGAAGAAAATTGAAACGTTCAAAAATAACACTTCGAATGGAGTAGCGAAAGTTGAGGGATCGGAATGTCTCGACCGACTTTTAATGCGTTAAATCGGCCATCTCTTCGTTCACCTATCGGCAGAGCTGCTTAACTTCTTGCTCACGAGCAAACTTCCCCTCCCGAGGTTCCCCCACTATGCGACTCAGATGATGGAGGAGTCCTCCCACCACAACTCCAGCGATAGTTTTTGGGTACGAAATGTGCAACATAAACAAAAGGCAGTCGTTGGAGTTATGGTAGGAGGGCTCCTTCTCGCAACTCGAGCGAGATCATCTGAGTCGCATAGTGGGGCAACCTCGAGAGGGGAAATTTGCTCGTGAGCAAGAAGTTAAGCAGCTCTGACCTACCGGAAGTAGCGTCCGGAACATGCGGCGGTCGAGAAGAATCCATGACAATATTTCACGAGTGGCGTTATAGTAGAGAGCGAAAGAAGAAAAACAAAACAGAAACGCTCGTTGACTCGTTGTTGGATCTTGCTCTAAGAATCGACGATTGGATTCTATCGTTTCGTGGCACAGCTCGACCCTCTGCGGCTGTTCAACGCCTTTCATTTGAAAAAGAAAGGAACGAAGACAGGAATATTTTTAGGTTAATAATTTTCTCAGCTCGAGACACAGGGTAGAATAAGACGAGTTACGAGGAATAAAGGGCGCTATATTTATATTATACAGAGTATCCATGAAAGATCGTGTCCTTTTTAAAAATTTATTCTCGCATCCATAATGTCGTACGACGATACTCTCTATCGCTAGAGTACCTTACGAAGTCTCTTTGAACTTTCGGACGGCGGATGCCGGGTCACCTCTGACCCTGCTTTTAAATTTCCCTTCTTTTAGCACAAATTCTTGTCTCCTTATATTATCAATATGTTTCTTATTTTGATCGTAAAATATTTTTATAATTTTGTAATGCCATAATAATGCCTAGTGAAATGAAAAAATTTTGGTTCGCTTGCGTATGAAGATTTTAATATTGGGTCACATTTGACCCGCCGTCCGTCGTTCGAGGATTAAAGTGAAAGAAAACTAAAAATTGCTTCGAAGTTGCTTTTAGTTGTTTAGTCGACGCCATTTTGAACGTCGAGTGAAACTTTCTCGGTCGAGTTGCAACCGGTGCTTGTTATTTACACGTCTCTCCGCGCACTGGTCACTTTGTGGAAGGAAATAGAAACGGGTATAGCTGGTGGGAGAAATACAGCGAGGTCGTGAATTGCGACTTAAGCGAAAACATCGAATCTGGAAAGAACAGCTGACGCTTTTAGTGGCCAAGCGGCGGCCATATTGGATCAGTATAGATCCACCTCTGCTTTCGTTATTCTCTTTTTATCGCTTAGAATCTTGATCCTTTTGATACAATTGATATCCGCTATAAATAAAATCAGATAAAATTTGTTTAAGGCTGACTTTGTTGCAGCCTCGAACGAGGATCGAGCTCCTTATCTCGCATCCAAACTGATGTTGAGGCGATCGAATTTTACGTTGCTTCACGCCTGTCTGATTTTACGACCTCGCTATATATCTCTTCCACCAACTGTACCATCTTTTATGGACACGCTGTATATACGTAACACGTATCTCGGGGAAAGTAAGGATTAAAGGTGTACCGTAGATCATGTTAGAGAATATCGCCTTCGATTTACATATCGTTTGTATTGTATTTCGTTCAACTTTCTGGGTTAAAGAGGGGGAGGGGGGGGGGGGCGGTAGAACGAAAAACTGGAAGAGCTGTTGAACCGTGGAGGGTTCGCTCCGCGAGTGAATCGATTTGGAAGGACGAATTGGAAGAGGAAAGGGAAATGAACTAGCAGGAAACTGAGCCCGTGGCATATCACGTGGAGTAATAATTCTCGCGACAGTGCGTCGATGTGTACATAGAATGCGTTCTGATTAATTCTGTTCGTTCTGAAAGCAAGGAGAAAGATTCGATGGAGCGTTCGACCAAGGACCAACAAGTTGCCCTCTTTATTCAGGATTTCAGAAGCCGCTTTTTCGAACGTAAACGTGAATCTCCGTGGGAAGGATCGAAGCGATTTTTGAAGATAGTCGATTGTAATTTAAACGAAATCTGGAGTACTAAAGTTGGTCTCTCGCCTCTAACGAATTTATTCGTCGATTCTAAGTGAAATGTTCGGCGAAGAGGTTCGGCCCTCGTCCTCGTTCGTTTCTCTCCTCGAAAAACGATCCAGCGGCACTGTAAATATCGCGGTTCACGGCACACTGGAGCTTGGTCGAGCGTTCCTTTCTTCCGAATAGCCGACGAAAAATGGTTTGTCGGATGGAAGGGAATTTTGAAATAATTCGAGTAACAATGTGTACGAGGAACGAGATTCGATGGAAATTTGTACGTCGAAACGTGTGAATTTTAATAGGGAAATTATAGGCGAGCACTGTTGTGTTTTTAGTTAAAAAATGCGAGAAAGTAATGTTTCTTTGATGAAAATAGAGGGACAGACTCTCCCTGCGTCGTTCGAATGAAAGATTGAAGCGCGTAGAAAGATGCGAAGTGGCACGGGTCTGTAAAGAGAGAGAGAGAGAGAGAGCGAGTAAAGTGGTGCAGCAGAGAATAAGACACGCACACACGCATACACATTTGTACGCACACGACAGAGAGGAATGGAAGGGATGTCGTAAGGGTATATACGCTGGTATATCTCCTCGAATTTTCAGAATTCATGAAAATTCATGTACCTACCTTTATAGGATCCTCTGTATCTACCCGTACGTAGGATATCGATTTAAGGAAAACGAGAGAATAAATGTCGTACGTTGTATATTTGCCCCCCGGTGTTCTTTTTACGCCTGACCCTGCCAATATTCGTTTCTACGTTGATACGTTCAATTCTACGTATTTTTTCACGATTACTTTACGATCTCAACCATTGATCGTTCGTTGGAAACGAGTCGTTTACAGAAATCTGCATTATCGACCGACGATACACCTTTCAAACAGGTTACTTTAACTACGGTTGGTAATTCAGAGTTCTTCCTTATCCGTGATAAAATAATCGGACGAAATTCATTGTAGAATAATTAATTAAACTTAATGGAAAGATTAATCGTTTTATCAATTTATCAGAAAAAAGAATCTTTTATTTAGAGAACTTCGAGGAAGTGTTAGGACAAACAGTGTAACTGATACCAGATAAACCCCACTTTTACAAAAAACTTAAAAGTGCAAAACATTGATTTGTAATTAATAATGAACGATAAGGATTGATTATCGGCATTGATATATTGTAGTTATTATGTCATTCGATAAAGAAACTTCCTTACCTTCGATAACAGAGAAAAAGAATCTTACGTATTTCATCTGTGTCTGTAACTCTCGCAAACTTTCCTTCATAAATAGACGTATAATTTATCTTGCTCATCTTTCGATCCACCAACGTCGAACCGATCGAAATCAAACATAAGAAACACTTTCACACAACGATTAAATCTGTCGAAAATATTTTTATTAAGCGATCTTAATCTCCTAGAGACGATGAATTAAATTGATAAAATTGATTACGCATATCTATATATGTATACATACCTACGTCTAAAATGAAAATTCTGTTCGTTTCTCTTACGTTTCTTCGATGAGAAATTTCACGTATTCGTGAAACGTCGAAAAACATTTTTTACAGCTGCATTCGAGAGGAAGAATTTATCGACGGTGTTTTCCACGAAAACATTCCTCGCGTATGTATCATTCATCGGAGTCTCGAAACAACGATCGATCGAATTTCTGCATACACCGATAACCAACTGAGTATTGCAACGTGACGTAAAATCTCACATGTGATTGCCAAGGTCAAGTATGTGGCTAATTAGATACAGGTGAGAAATCTTTACTTGAACGATACCAGATGCAACGACGTTTCATTCTCAAAACTCTCATCGAAACAAATCGAACAGAAATTAACACAGATAAGGTGAAATACATGAAAACACTAATTAACATATCAAGCGAGAATTTTTTACACGTCGATTCAGTTTAGAACCGAGATTACTTGGAGAGCCAAAAATTGCGGGATGTCCAGAGAAATGGAAGCCTCGAGCGAGAAAAGCGAAAGCTATCGTTCGTCAGAGGGTGAGGAAAAAAAGAAACCTGAATCGGATCGATCGAATTTCTGCATACACCGATAACCAACTGAGTATTGCAACGTGACGTAAAATCTCACATGTGATTGCCAAGGTCAAGTATGTGGCTAATTAGATACAGGTGAGAAATCTTTACTTGAACGATACCAGATGCAACGACGTTTCATTCTCAAAACTCTCATCGAAACAAATCGAACAGAAATTAACACAGATAAGGTGAAATACATGAAAACACTAATTAACATATCAAGCGAGAATTTTTTACACGTCGATTCAGTTTAGAACCGAGATTACTTGGAGAGCCAAAAATTGCGGGATGTCCAGAGAAATGGAAGCCTCGAGCGAGAAAAGCGAAAGCTATCGTTCGTCAGAGGGTGAGGAAGAAAAGAAACCTGAATCAGAGTGTTCAACGTAATTCACTGGCCGCGATAAGGTAATCAGCGAGTAATCATTAATTCTACACAGTTTCACTTGAAATGAATCGTCCGATAATGGGGCGACGTCACCCTATATAAGGTACTCGGAAATACACAAAAGAGTCATAGTGTATCAATCGTGTATCAATCGTGTGGAAATCAGAAATGGCATTCGTGAAATTCTTACTGATCACATGCCTGCTAGGGATCGCCCTTCGGGAGATCCACGGACACGGAATGATGATGGATCCTGTGAGCAGAAGCAGCGCATGGAGGAAAGGATACCCCGTTGAACCGAATTACACTGACAACCAATTGTTCTGCGGAGGATACAACGTAAGAAAATCAACTAAATCTCCTGCGTGTCGACCCTTTCAAGCATTTCGAGATGAACGCGACGTCGAATAGTCCTTCGTTGACTCTGTTCGTTGCAACCCTCGTAAATAAATTACAGAAATATTGGCAAAAGTGTGTCGATCCGTCGTATTATCCTGTTTAAACGTTTTCTCCATTTTTTAGTGAGAAGCAAGCATTTCGAAATGAACACGAATAGTCCTTCTTAGACTTCGTTAATTCCAGCCTTTGTAGTTTATTACAGATAGCATAAATAAATCAGCCAAATATTGGCAAAAGTGTGTCGATCCTTCGTACTATCCTGTTGGAACATTTCCTCCATTTTCTACTAAGAAGAAAGCATTTCGAGATGAGATCAGTCGTCCTAAGGCTTCACTCGTTCCAAATCTCGTAGCTCTTTAAATTACCCAAATTTTGACAAAGTGTGTGATTCTTATTTCGAACGAACATCTCAACTTCCGGCGAAGGAGGAGGAAAATTTTCCGGAGGAAATCTACCGCAAAGTGTAAGAGATAATCCGTTTTTTTTTTCACAACACAGGTACAATACAACCAAAACCACGGAAAATGCGGCGAATGCGGCGACGACTACGCAATGCCCCGTCCCAGGCCCAACGAAAATGGCGGCATCTACGGACTCGGCATCAGCGTTCGAAAGTAAATATCCATATTCTACCCCGATCTCCACGAAAATTGAGGAAAAATATTGAGAGACCCAAAACGGGAATCGAACCCGGGACCTTGGGCTTTCCTGTTTGGGCATGGAGGCCCCGATACTACATATGTGTATCTCGTTCGAAATTCGACAAAATCTCTCTTCCCTCGTTTCAGCTACACAGTGGGCCAAATCGTGAACGTGAAAGTGAAACTGACCGCCAATCATTTGGGAACCTTTAGGTTCCACCTGTTAGAACTGCACAACATACACCACGTAGAGACTGAGGAGGGCTTCGACGAGTATCCTTTGAAACTAGCAGACGGTGGCTACGAAGTGCAGGTACCCAGCACGAAGATGGACTTCGACATTCCTGTTCGTCTGCCAGCCGAATTGGTCTGCGAACACTGCGTCCTCAGATGGACATATCGAGCTGGAAACAATTGGGGAGATTGCGACGACGGCACTTCCCGTTTGGGCTGTGGACCACAGGAAACCTTCAGGAACTGCGCCGACGTTTCTATTTCTGTCTGAACGAACCGGTGAATCCTAAACGACGAGCGAGGTATAGTCGGTGGAAGCGATGTAGCGAGATCGCGAATTAAAGAATCAAGTCTGTCACCAATGGCCGGAGTGCCTCAAATATTTAGACTAATTAAAATAAAATAAAACTGGACATTATTTTGAATTTAAAAAAAATAATAATGTAATGTTGTGTTTAGGATAATGAAAATTTTGTTAAAGGCTACCTGAGAGAAAAATATAAATCTGGCCTGACAGTCAATGTATTAAGAGGCGACACTTAGGGCGGCGCGTTATTTTTGAAATTTCAAATTTTTCATTCGAGATAGACGGTAATCCTGCCTAACAGTAATTTTTGTGCTGATTAAAACGAAGCCTGAAGTCAACGAGTAAGGCACACAAATTTGTTAAAAACACCGCAATGGAGGAAGGAATTCAGAGTTGGCAGCGTTCGGTTCTAGCCTCTTATCTCCCGAATCGCTGGTTTCGCGCTCAATTTACGCGTATAGTCGGTGGAAGAAATACACCGAGGTTGTAAATTAAATGAAGTTATTAACTCTGGATAATTTGAGACTGAATCGAAGCTAAGACACACTTCAAAGGCCCTGACTCAGGTTTCCATCGATTCTCCTTCGATCGTGTATACTCCAATACCCGACTCGCTCTATTTCTTCCATCGACTATACCTTGACGCTTAACTCACTTTATCACCTCGTTACGTCGCTTCTACTGGCTGTACATTCGCTCTGAAACCGGGGAAACGTTTGTAGATTCGCAGTTTTCGCGACAATTATATGCATCGCAAATTGAAATTCGAGATTAACATTGTTTTCGAAGTTTCAACGTTTACTACCCAATCGACGATTCACCTACACTGCGGCGTTCCAAGTGGTTCGATAAAATGGGTCAGAGGAGGGGCGTGTGGGAGAAATTTGAGCGAGATTGTTACAACTTCGACTAGTTAAGATTAGATAGTAGCGTGATATCTGAATCGATCGAACACAGATAGGAAAAATCTGACTTCGGGGGAATATTTTGCCGTTATTTATAGACAATTAATTGGATAAACACGTCTATGTAGGTCAACGACGTGTTTGTTTCCCTTGTGATATTTTTGTTCCTACGTTTTACTCTTGCTGTTCGAACGATTGTAGAAATTGTAGGTACGTCGAATCGTCGAATTATTTTCTAACCGCGTCCCGTTCATTGTTCGAGGTACTCCGCGGCACACCAAGTGATAAATAATGCAACAGGGAGATAAAACAGTTGGCTGATAATGCGCGGTAATACGGCCTGCAAATTAACGGGAAGCGTGTACATGCAGATTATTCGGCACGCTTTCACCGAATCTCGGTCTCTCTTTAAAGCTTCGCTCTCTCAGCTATCGTTACACTTTCCGTGCCCTGTTCCCCCCTCGTGCCTCTTTCTTGCTTTAATTGACGTTACATCGAATAGTTCAGTTTTACGGTTCAGCCATTGATAATCTGGAGGTGTGTACGCGTGGAAGTGTACTATCTTTATCGCGTACGCCCCTCTTAAGGTTACAATTTTCCTTTCCTCGACCTTGTTACTAGATTTACCGTTTCCTTGTTGCTATCTTATCTCTGCTTCTCCTGTGTTCCACCGTTTCCCGGTATACTCGCCCGCCGTAACAGATTCTTTGCAGTTTACTCTCTGCTCTTTTTATTATTTCTGCGCGCTATCGGTCGCTTATGCGGAGAGAGAAATATCATGGAAAGAGAGCGTGGAGACAGAGAACATGAAGAGAGAAAAAGCGTGGAAAGAGAAAGAGAGCGTGAAGGGAGAGACCGTGGAGTGAGAAAAAGCGTGGAGAGCGAGAGCGCGTGGAGAAAAAATGATGGAAAGAGAGCGTGGAGACAGAGAACATGAAGAGAGAAAATACGTGGAAAGAGAAAACGTGGAAAAGGAGAGAGAGCGTAGAGGGAGAAAAAGCGTGGAAGGAGAGAGAGAACGTGGAGAGAGAAAAAGAGCGTGGAAACAGAGAGAGAAAATGGAGGGAGAGACCGTGGAGCGAGGGAGAGCCATCCTCCTCCGCACCCTCGCACCTATTTCTCATTCCATTATACTCGT